CTCAGGAAATGAATTGTGGAATTACGATCTAAAATATTTTGCAAAAACTTCTAATCTGCTTTAGGTAAGAGAATGCTTAGATGTCTTTTTCTGTTTAGAAATATCTCTCACAGGAAAACTTTTAAAGTTTGGGATTAATTATATGTAATTTTAGCCACCTGGAAGCTGATTTTGTAAATTTGAGCTAATAATCTAGACAACTTCCATAGTCAGTGGAGAGAGATAAGAAGGTTCTGCTGGTGTGCACATCATCCCTATTGTCTTACCCCTCAGTGCAGAGTGGGATAACTGCTTTCAGGAGGTTCCTGATTCGTCCTTTTGACTACAGAGAAAGCCTGTACAATCAGTTGACTAACCTTAAATCCTTAAATTATATGAATCTTATCTAAAGTGTTTAGTATGGTTTTTAGCCCTCTCTGCTCTACTCTATCTCAGTGAACACCCAAATCCCAGTAGTGAAATGAATCAGGAGAGAGAGATAAGGGAGCTGTATTGCTGCAAAACGTGCTGGTGTGGAGCTGTACGTGCTTCTTGGGCTCTCCAGATGTTGGCAAGCAGTGCCTCACAAGAAAGGAGGAACAGTGAGCAGGCAGCTGCCATCTCCCACTGCGCGAAGCAGTGATGAGAATAAATACACGGTTTGAAACAAAAAACTCCTATTGATTCACATTTTTCCAGCTAGATAGAAGCTTTTTTTTTTTTTAGTTCCCAAGCAGGGAAAAAATATATTATCCCAGACCATTTGCCTGCCCTGATTCATCAGGAGTTTCATGAAACGTCTGTGCTGGCAGAACAGAGGGGTGATGCTGCTGCAAGATAAAGGAGCCAACTGGGAAGGCTGCATGGGGACTACTTAAACCTGCACAGCTCTGAGGCTTGATTGAACACTGAACTCAGCCCTTCGACTTTGGGGACAGGTAGACGTCCACGCCACAGCCATAGCTATGTGGGCAGTAGGGTCGCTGTAATCCAACTACATAGCTAGATCTTCTACGTATCTTTTTCATCTACTACTGCAGCTTCCTTTGCACTTTCTGTGGTTTTGCTTCTGTCATTCAGCCACTCTATTTGTTCTTTATCTTTTCACTAGCCTTCATGTTTTACATGTTTTCTTTGGATTAGCCAGTGTATTACTCCTTCCAAATTATTTAACAGGAAGGATCAGCCTCTTAGCACGTTTAATTGATGCCTTAAGCCTGTAAATTATATTTTTATTAAGAAAGAGTTTCTGAGATGCAGCCTGTTTGAAGGCTCGCTGATCTCATTTTTCTATTCTTTCCACGAGGACCTTCTTTTATGTAAGACAATGTCTTGAGGGTCACTCTTTCGAGTATCAGGGAGTCTTCCCAGGCATACACATGAAGGGCTGCCCAAATTAAGCAAGGGGAAACTTCTGCCTCTGCCTGATAGACCCTGCAGTGCTGCAGCTATGCTGAGTCTCATCCAAACTACTCCCCTATTGCCAGTGTCTGGGGAGACCCAGATGCACTGCACTATATGCTGCCAGTACGCATATAAACAGAATTAAAACCCCCTCTCCAAAAACTTTTCCCCATAGATTATGTTACAGGCACTGCATTAAGAATTTTGGACCCAAAAAAAAGCAGCACAATATCTTAAAAAAAGAGCTTAAAAAAAAAAAAAGATGCTGAGGGTAAGGTTTATTGCCCTTCACTCTGTTCTCAGTTTTCAAATTTTTCTCTAGACTCGTAATGGTTATTATTTTAAAAGAAAGCCTACATCGCAGTCATTTATTTCACTCATGTCACTGCACATAACCAATGGAGATAGCTAATGACCCTTGAAGGGTGACACTGGGGAGATTCAGGAGACTGAAGTGATGTGTGGGGCAGCTACCCGGGCTCAGCCAAGAGGAAACCCGAGGGCAACGGACCTGAGTGGAATTCAGGCTCTTTGCATACCATCCTATCGAGCCTCCTGACTCTAGGCGAGGCTGACATGTTTTAAATCAAACACTGTTATTCACAGTAAGCACACAAGGCCAAGCAATGGCTAGCGAGGAGAACAAATCTTTCTGTATTTCATTTGTTTCCTAATCTCAAAAATAAGTTCAGTAATTGCAAGCTCTCGTCAAGTTAAGTACATCAAAGCCTAGGAGAGCAGCACTACTGTGGTAATAGGGTCATTGAAGTAGTTTTCCCAGCATTGTGTGGTTCTGGGAGTGCATAACATTGATATCACCTTATCAGACAATAACTCAGATTCCTCTCGAGTTTCCGAGCAGTGCTCTTTGGCAGTGTTCGCTATGGGCCTGGGGCACAAGCTAGCCCATTTATCCTGAACAAGTTTTGACAGAGGGTAGCTTCCTCAGATTGAAAACACATTTTCAAAACTCAACGTTCCAAACTGTATAAGAAACATTTCTTTCACATAGTGGAAAAAATGCATAGTGTTTTTTTTTTCCTTTTATTTAGTTTTCTGTGAATTTGGAATTTTGTATTAATTTGGGAGTTTTTTGGTTTATACATTTTCTGCAGAGCAAGAGAATTTGGAATTATACATGTCTGGTAGGGCATGTCTGCATGGCATGTCAAACGCATGATCATGGATAATAAAAATGCTTCTCCTCGCTTGTTGGAAATTAATTGATTCATGTTCTGCCATGTACGTAATCCCAGCAGCAGAGATTCGAGTGTGTGTTAGTGGGCCAGACGTACACCTACAGTGCATCTATACTAATAAAGTGGGCCAATGCTAACGCTCCCTGAGCGTGCCATAAGCACAGTACCTGTGCAGACTCTTCTCCCTTTGCAACGAGTGCTAAGAAGGGAAAAAGCAAATGCACCCTCCGTCCAGTGCATCCACCTGCAAATCAACAAAATTTGCAGCCCCTCTTGGCAGCAGAATAACCAGTCAGAACGAAACCAGGAAATCTCAATTATTTCCCTAATGTTAACTGTGTTTATTGTCAAGTCTCCCTGTAAAGGCATGTCATTTATACATACCTTTAAAAGAAAGACATTTTGCTGGAACAATCAATGTTCATGCCAACCATCTGTGTTACAAAGCTGTCATTTACTCCAGTGTGGTTGCCTGCATTAAGAGTGCACCTCAGCTTACAAAACACAGATCTGCTTCTTAACGTTTTACTATGTACCCACTGGTAAGAACAGTCATCTTTCTTAACACACATATCTGGATGTCTATGTTCAAGACAAAGACAGGATGTTTCACTTCCAGCCACATACAAGGACAATGACGTCTCTGTATGAGATGAAGAGCGAGGCAGTGAGAGTACAGTCCGACGAAGATGCGCACTGTGACCTTTCTCTCCTTTCCCAGGTGGGTAAATGTAGAGCTTCATACGTTGAGTGAATTTCTGAGTTATTTTTAGGAAGTGGCTTATTTTCATGTTCAGTCTGAGGTTAAGTAGAATATGAAATGGAATTAACAGTGTTTGCCATCAGCAATTTTATTATAGATCTTGATTTTACAGTCAACAACTTACATTACAACAGAAGAGGTACAAAAGTGAGCGTGAATACAATCTCTTGACCTATAGTCAGAAATAACCTATTTGAAAGTATTGGTATGTGTCTGCATTGATGCATATAAGTAGTGACATACAGACTGCAAATACGAATACATTTCACTTAATGTAAACATTATGGGTGAGGTCTTGGGCATGGTCCAGCTGTGCTCAGTGCAGGCCTGTGTATTACAGAGTAAAGGTTTATCTAGAGATGCTCGAAATTACACCAGCTTGTGTAGTTCCATAAGGATGCTTCGCGCTCTGGGTAGTCACTAAAACACACAGCATTATCACCTCTGCCTGCGGGATCATGGAAACCTCATCTGCCAAAGGAATTGGCAATTGCTGGTTATGCTGGCAGTGCAACACCTAGGAATATATCTGTAGCAAAACCTGCTCTGTTCTCCTTGTGTCAATGGCACTGCACAAAGGCACTACAGCCAAGGCCACAATCTGGCCTCAGATCTTTATTTTGTTATAAATAGCGCACTTGAATATGCATAGGAGATTGGTAAAATGGAAGTCAAAGGAAATGAGTGAAACCTGCTGTTCCAGTGTACTACAGCAGGTCTGTGCTTATGAATTATACACCGCAAGGTATCACCTTTCACCTCAGAAACGGAGGTCAAGAGAGATTCCTTATTGTGGCAACCTTTTGATGTTTGTCTCTATTCCAGTGGATGGCCAAGCTGTGGCCTGAGGGACCTTTTATGAAAGTTGGAAGGCTTACTATTATTGCTATATTAAGAATAAAATGTAATCTGAACTGCAGTGGTGTTTCCAGTAGGATTTTAATGGGGCTGTCTGAGTCAGTCTTGCTATTTTATCTCCCCAGCTAACACTTGACAAGTTCTTACAGATGCTGGCAACCCTCTGAGCGGTTTCTGGTCTTTTCTTGGCGCAGCTCAGACATCTCCTCACCAGCCACTTACAGCGATGCCCATTAAAGGTAAGAACCACTCTGCCTCCTCCATCACTTGCTTTACCTGCTCAGAGGTGCCACAGTCCCTGGGAGAAATATGATTTACACTACATGTCACTGGGAAACGTTCCCCTTGGGGGGATGTTGCACTGGGATACAAGGAGAGTGTAGTATGCTCTGGTCATTTCCCATCCAGCCTTCCAGCGGGGAGGACACCAGGCGCTGGTCCGGGCAAGTCCTGCCTCTGCTGGAAAGTCTCTTTCTTCTCTGTGCACGCCCCAGGGAATCCCTGCTCTGACCCTCTAGACACAAGGGCAGCTGTATAGGAGGGAGCAAAGCAGGGCAAAGTGCCTGCCACCGGACATGTCCCCGGCCCTCTGAAATGGCGTGTGTGTGTGTGTGTGTGTACAGTAATCACACCTAAACCACCTTCTGCTCCTTGGCTGTTGGTATCACAGCAAGGACTTCTGGTTGTGGACTCTGTACACACCACGCTGCTATTTATCACGCTAAGCTATGTAGCCACCTCTTTTCCTGCTTTACACACAAACGATGAAAGTTTTCAGTGGTGCGGAGCACTTCGGTTCACGGAGCTGCTGTGGTGTTGGTGCAGAGTCTGCAGTCTATGTGGTCAGGGTTGCGCACACACTGAAGAAGCTGAACTGGCCTGTGGTAAGAAACAAAACCAAACAAATATGTAGTAATTGCTTTGCAAGTACAACAGAATAAAGCTCCGCAGTTATTAAATGCAACGTGAAAGTCAAAGTGCATGTTATGCTTATGTTATGCTTATCAAGTGGATGTGTTTTCTTAGGATGATTTCTTTTAGATCTTGCTGCAGAAAGATAACTTTGATGTTTATAGGGGGTAGGGACAAGAGCAAGTGAGTATGAAATAAGGTAGGGTGTGAACTTACAGCATGTCAGCTATGCTGAGATAAGAAAAATAATTATGAAAAAGAAGGAAGACCTCTGGCACTGATGACAGAGCTGCTTCCATGCTGGAGTTCACCATCTTGCTTACCTCATGGTAACCCCTACTGCTACAATATAAAGCTGCTGCTAACAATGTCAGCTATTATTAGATTTCTTGCTAGAAGTACATCCAGTGAATCAAATTTTTCAGTTACTTCTGGCAGACACTACTGACACTGACAAAAGCCAGAGAAAATGATCAGCACCAATTGCTACGTGGCATGAAAAGCCGGATGCTCAGCTGATATGGACCCACACGGTTCTGTCTCCAATGATTTCAGGGGAGTGAAGCTAACTTATACAGTCTGTCCTGAAGGGTTTCACTGCACATGTAAATCGCTTATTTTATTATTGCTCTGTATATAAAATAGTAAAATTAATTGTCCATGTTGCACCACACAGTTGTTTGTGTATGTGTCAGTTGACAAAAAGCCCTACTTGTTTTTCTATCTTAGGAAGCAAGTTGCAAGCCACAGCAACGAGCACGTCAACAACTCCTCATGATGTGTTGCAGATCTCTCCTTGTGCTGAGCCACGAGGGATCTGAGCTACTACATATTTCTCCTTCCTCTCTGGCCCCTTAGCTTATTTCATCATAGGCTTAAATAATTTGTACCTACTTGCATGTCCTGGGATTATTGTTTAAAGGCTGCAGTTACCCAAAGAGAAAGCAAGTGCACGAGCATCACCATTTGGCAGATTTATGCACCACACCAATGTTGATTTTTTTACAATGTGCAGAGTACCCATTAATCAGGTTTAGCAATACCTTAGCAGGAATATATTGCTTTGCCTTCAAGATTAAAATCCTAGTACCAGATAAGGTATTTGCAGAACAACTTTTCCTTATGCAAAACTAATGTCACAAACTCAGTAGTTTATAGAAATGCTTGCTTGGGAAATGTTCTTATCCCACTATGAGTCCTTCACTCCAAAAAGCTGTTCCTGATAGATAAGATAGGAGTAATATTGAACCTTTGCTGCTTTTTTAATGTCACTAAAGAACACTTTTGCTCTGTGTGAAGGTCTCTGAACCCACACACAGGAATAAAGGGTTTCAGGCTTTTATCTCCTCAGCAGGCAGATAGAGATTCCAGGCAAGTCAGAACTTCGGCTGTTCTGTTTCCTGGTCTCTTGTTTTTTATCTCCTGACAATGGGGAATTATAGTAATTAATAATACTTGTCATGTCTCATGCCTCACTCTCTGACAAAGCAGCTACATGGAAAGTAAGCCCAAACTATAGCGATGGAAATAAGGGCCATCCTTGACACACTGCGTTATCTGCGTGCAGCAGTAAGGAAAGCTGCCTATTTGGTTGTTCTTATTGTAGGTAAAAACTCAGTCAGATGAAAATCTGTTGAGAGAGGCTAGATTCCTCCTTCCCTGAAGGCAAATGACCTCCTGGAGTGCAAGGCAGAGAGCGAGCCCCAGGCCCAGCCAAGGTGAAGTCTGCTGCACAAGCGGAAGCCCCTGAGAAGCACACAGACACATCAAAGGGATGTGATGGCAGTAAGAGGGGAGTCCGCTCTAGTCTGCTATAAACCAGGAAACACATATTAAATCAAGAGGGAGATACAACATTAGTTTTATGTTTGCAAACTGATATCAATAAGAGCAGATAATTACCTGTAATTATCTTCACAGGTGATCATAATGTTTCGCTCTTCTAAGATGCTTTTCATCCTCTTTATGGAATGACCTGAGCAGGATTCACTGGAAAGAAAAGTCTTGTTACTTGTGTTCCTTGTGTGTACAAGAAGCTCAGCTAAATTCCACACTATGTCACTTTGCCTTATTTCAGGTAAGATTCTTTAAAAGATTGTTTGCTAATGTGCTGTAAAGCCTATTGGGTTTCTGGAGTTTTGGCTACCATTGGGCCTTTGCTGGCAGAAGCTCTGTGATGTTCAACTGTGCATCTTGCACAAGAACTCTGTGCAGGCAGATATCTGTAGGAGTCAATTCAGTTCTGTTGACAGTTCAATGTGCTCTAGAACTGCTCCAGAGCTGCTGGTGGCCTCTATCCGCAGGAGCACGATATAAGGCACATTCAAATCTGTGGAAGGACAAAGTGATCAAGCCCTCTGCGTGATGAGAAAGGGCTAATCACTAAAACCGGCAGTTTAATGATTTTAAAATCCCAAGTAGGACACAATACAGAAAGAAGCAGATAGAAAACATGGGAGGAAGCAGGATATGAGCATCTCCTATCTGTTTGACTCAGTCTGTGGCTTCTGCTACTCTGTTTTAACAAGGGACTCCTTCAACTACTTTTCCATTGGCAGGAGCCCTAACTTGTGTATTTCTTTTCCATCTAGCTGATGGTGGTTTCATGAAGCATGTAGCAATGTCATACCTTTGAGATCTTTATCTCTATGCTTAATTTGCTTGAAACAGCCCAAGGGGCCTCAAAGCTTTAGTGAGAGGATTGACAAACATCAGGGACACAGCCAGAGCCGCTGCAAAAAACTTGTTAGCTCAGGATAAAAATCATCTCCTGGTCCAGAGTATGGGACACACATCAGAGCAAATCCAGTTCCTAACATATGGCATTAGTGGAAAGCAGAGCCAGCTCTTCTTTGTTCACAAGACTTAGCAGATGTTATCAGTGGTTCACCATGGGATACAAATGAGAAGACAAAAGGAGTACATATTGGAGCTACCCTTCCTCTTTCTCCTTGGAAGGAAGTAGAAAATAAAAAGGAAACTGCTGTGAACTTGGCACAGGAGAAAGCTGTGTCAGGCAGGCTGGCAGGGCACCAGGTTGTTGAAGGTGTTGAGGAGGAAAATGATGGCTTTTCTGATGCTGGGAAATCCTGGGAGAAAGGAAAGTTAGTGCCACGTTTGGGGGAACTAACATACAGATTACCCAATGTCCTTTCCTTCAGCAAACCTCTATGCAACGGGCCACAAGCGTATGTCTGCCATGCTGACCACAGGACAGCTGCATGCCTGCGAGCTGCGACAGATGTGTCAGCCTGTGCGGCAAAGAGACACTTCTGGGTGTCTGAGCTCAGGGAGGGGTTGTGACACTGGAGCTAGTACTGCCTAAGCAAGGCTCTCTGCTGGATCCGTGCTTGTTCCTGAGTTGCACTGCGTCATCACATCCTGCTTCTTGACCCACAACACCAAAGCGGCTGCCTCTGCCAGGGGAGGTCCTTAGGAACGAGAGCAACCATGGCAGGGCGTTGTAACCACGTGAACCACAGAACCGGCTCTGAAATGGGGCTCAAAGGCACTGAGCCTCACACTCGGTGCTTGAAATGTGATAGATCTGCAAATTAATCTGTTTGGGATGAAAAAGGCCACTCAGAAAGGCTCAGATGTGATTTGAGGTTGCTGTTCTGGTACCAGTAATTCCATGGCAAGCATTTAAACTACAAATTTGTAATCAAAAATCACAGAATCATTTAAGTTGGAAGGGCTTGCTTGAGATCAGCTAGTCCAACCCACATCAGCTAAAGCAGGTTGCCCAGGACCCAGTCGGGTTTTGAGTATGTCCACAGATGGAGACTCCACAACCTCTCTGGGAAACCTGTTCCAGCATGTGAAATTATTTTATCAAAAATGGTTTTGCTCAGCATAATTATTTTATTCCTGTGGACAAACACAATTTCCAGTTGTTCACCCTTGCAAATGTAGCCTGCTCTGATTTCAGTGCTGCACCCATAATAAAGGTCTGTAGAGCTCAGTGGGGTTGTAATTTAAAGGTCATGGGACCTCTTGAAAGCAAGGAAAATGTCATTGTGTCTTAACTATAACTGTTGAGCAGTACCTATGAAAAATACTGACGAAAACAGCAGTATAAATGTTATCCTTACCAGTAAATAAGCAGCTAGGAGAGTGAATGTGGAGCAGGTTTTGTGAGCGGTTTTAAGACAGTGTCACTGTTCCATAGTCACTCGCCAGACCTGAGTTGTGCCATCTGCCTTCTACACACTGCTCATCATTTTGTACCACTGTGACTTACCTTCGGGGCCCGCCGATGTCATGCATAAGCCAAACGTGTACTGCAGAGACTTTAGCTGGATTTAGGTTAAAGATCTCAACACTTCCAAAGATGCTGTAAGAATGGGATGCGAAAAAGCAAAACATTCTTAATTATCTGAGGAAGACGTATAGATTACATGCCCCAAATACTAGTGCTTATTCGTGCTACTGCTATTCTCAGTGAAAGAATGTTATCTTGCCAATGGATATTCATAGACTATTTAATTGCCTTATGGTAAAATATTTTCTCCTCATTCTTTTTTCACTTCCAGGAGAACTTTTCAAACTGTCTGCCGACTGAAACAAGCTAAAGTTTTTCCATCTTCAGCGCCTTTTCTCCTGTTCGGTTTATTGGCTATTGATTTGGTGCTGCAAGGGAAATGAAAGTGACTGTTCCTCCGACCACCATATTCTTCATCTTTCAGTATTATTCAAGACTGCATTTCCAGCCAGGTAACCCAAGGACGCCCAGTCTTGGAGGGGTAAAATCCAGTCAGCTCCATGAACAGTTAGAAATGTGTCATTCATGTGTAACAAACAAATAAACTGTAATTATAATAACAGCAACAATAATAAAAATAATAATGCTACTTTATGCAGTAAGAGCATACTGGATACCTCACTTGCATACTCTCTGAAGGATTTTAATTACAGTCACTACAGAAGGAGTGAAGTGAATCAGCTCTACAACAGGCAATTGTTTAGACCCTACATGAGCCAACCCAAATCCATCCTGCACTGGGACTCAATGCCAAAGACACGTTCACCAGCACGCAGCCCCCACAGAAACACGGATGGTAGCATGCTGAGTAAATACCTGCTGCTTCTGAAAGCTCCAGCTTCTATTGATCCATTGAGTATCACTTGAACCACACCACATGCTGCTTCTGCAAACTGAACAAAACAAAAGGACATGATACTCTTTGACACTACATGCAGCGCCACGTCAGACTTGGGGATAGCAGAAATTACTGTAACTTCTTTGATGTCATCAGAACTGACTTACACAAGTAGAGGATCTGGCCAATATTTTGGCAGAACATGTCAGTGAAAAAAAAACCTCTAAAGGCTATGGCAAAACTGTGTTAAAGCTGCATTAGCCAGCTATGAATTGGCAGTCTGAGGCTGTATGGAATTGCTGAAGCAACTTTTCTGTCACTGCTGTTTTCAGTTTTTACAGGGCTTTCCAGAGCCCCAGCAGCTACAGCTGCCTGATGGGGCTGCAGTAATTTGGATTAATCCTCAGACTGCTTTAACTCAGGTGGTGAGGATGAGCCAGAACAGAGTTACCACTAGTTTAAGGACATGCAAACCATTGTGTATTCATTACCTTGTGACTCATGCTCTGTGTTCTTTTGTGGCTTGGGATTTTTCTCCCCAGTGGTTTTAGTAAAACTCATCACTGAGTTTTGTTTGATTTGATTTTTAAATTACTCAATCATGTAGTCACTTCTCTTTTATTCTTTAAAACTCCTGTCCAAATGTTTAAAGACTACTAAGGTTACAACGTAAAGTATCCACTCTAATTATATAATCCATTGGTAAGGCAAAGAATTTTCAAAAAGCTTGTCACAGGTGACTGTATGTAGCAAACCTTCCAAGTCCTCTTATGTCTAAACAATGTGACTCAAACTCAGATCTTGAGAGCTGTGAAGTTGCAGGAAAGTTTCATTATGTGTAACTTTCTAATGTACTAAGCGTGAGTTTTAGTAGATCTTAAATTTATTTGGACTAGAAAGCCTGCAGTCGAGCAAATCTAACTCTGTATGGTGGATTATCCCTCCCAGACTCTGGAACTGAGAGGACTAACGAGAACATAGAAACTGTTTTGAGCTTGGAAACCTTATGTACACTAGTTTACCCAAAACTTTTTTTTATGGGGAGTAGACTTTTTCTTACGTACATGAAAGCTGAAGCACACAGGAATGCTTGTTTTCCACCTGGGCAGTCACCCACTAGTAGTTGTATCAAGGTGAAGTCTTGGGAGACATGTAAAATTAAACCAATACAGGAGAGCAGGTTTTTCTTCTGGCAGTTTTTTTTCTGTAAAGCGCTGGTTCAGCAAAAGCAAGCTGACTGCTTAACTCGGACTAGCAGGGTCTCATCCATTGGACTAGCAGGGTCTCATTCATGTGAGGAGAGCTGGCATGTGCATATGGGTGGGTACCTCATAGGAACCATGCCAGATACCATTGTGGGAGGACATGCTCTTCAAGTTCGTGCCGGGAAGGTGCACAGGGATTCTCAGCTGCTTGGAAAATTTCTGTGCCAATTTGGACACGGCTCTCAACATTAACATGTTAAAATGTATTTCATTTTAGCAATTTCAGTTCTGTGATTTAATTCAGGTGGTGATTATTATTACTGTAAGCAGCTCCAGCTGTCTGCCAAGTGTTGTTCTAGACACTGGCACATGGTTTCTGTCCACAAAATGAGAGTGCCCAAACTACAGTGACATTAAATATTGTGCATAAAATATGGGACCTTGGAAATACAAATTTCCAATGATTTTTAATACCTGAAGCTAAAGCTCACGTGAACTTCTACTATTCCATGTTTTAAGTCCAATCTGCAAACTCACATTTTTGGCAGTGTCAGGAACTTAGTGCCTTTCAACATTCTTGGATTCGGAGAGACTTATTCTAGATCTTACCATCTTGGATGCCGTTTTCCAGAACACAGAGCTAGGGTTGCTCTCACATTCACTTCGTTTTGGACAAGATTCATAGTTGATTCCTGAGAAGGAATACGTTTACAGAATAGCTAAGGTTAATATTGCTGCAATGTTTATATGCCTTTGAGAGCTGATTAATGATGGCAAAAAGATTTGCCCCCTACCAAAGCAAGAAGGCTACATGAGGACAGGGCGCTAAGAGGAAAAGGAATTCACATGTGTTCAAAGGTCTTCCTGTCTGCTCACACACGTTTCAGGGAGGCAGCTGCAGACCTTGCATGCAGATAATTCTCAGAAAAACTGCGAAGGGAAAACACGTAGTCCTAAATGTGAGAAACGGCTTGGCTCTTGACAAATTCTGTCCAATCACATTGAAAAATTAAACTTTGCCCAACATTTTCAGTAATTCCAGCCCAGTTTAGAGGTTGCTAGCCTTAAGCACCAACCCAGGAGTCATGCGGGCAGCAATAACCCCAGGGTACCTACATGCTGCCCCTGCCAATTTGACCGGCCTATGGCCAGGACCTTTTTGAATGGCATTCTTGTTTTTCAATTTCTCCCAAAGAAGCCACAGGAAGGAAGCGAGTAATCTAGATAAAAAGGGCTAGATGTGACCATTAGTCCAAGCAACAAATTGGTGTTTTAATAACAGCCAAAGTCGTATTTTTTAAATTAACCTGCGAACTAAGTATTATTTTCAGTTTTCCATAACACGGGACAGAAATACAGTTAAGGTTTTAAACTAAATTGCAAGAAAAGAATATGTGAAAAGGATTGTGTTTAGGTCTACATAGAAAAGAGAAAAGAATAATCTGGAATTCGAGCGTTTGTATTTGTTTTGCAAAAAACAGGACTTATTACCTGGGGCAGAGGGGTCTCCACACCATGAAACTCTATCAGCCATATAACCCAACAAGGTGTCCTCCAAGGTAAGGAAATTTTGATTGGATTTTGTGTAACGATGAGCGAGGTCACTTGTCTTGCTCCAAAACAGTGACTGTGAAATAAGGTACAACATCTAATAAGTGATATTTGCACTAGAGCTGGTCAGGAAATTTTCCTAGAGAAAAACAAAACGTTTTCCTGATAATTAAGGTGTTTCCATTTTTACTGAAACGCTGCAAGATCACCTTAGTGGGTTAGTTCTTATTTCTGCAGCCCACGCTCCCATTTCTGAAACCTTTTTGGGCGGTTATTTTTTGTGGAAATGGATGTGTTCAGCCTGTAAAGCATTTTGAAAGAAAGGTTTTGACTAGTTCTCATCAGGATGCATACTTAATTTGTTGTGTGCTTTTGAACTGCACATGGACAAGCAGCTTTTTGGAAGCAGTGTCCCTCTAACAGCACGACAGCACGCTCGTTACAGAGCGCCCTACGCTCAGGGAACAGGGACATCACTGTCACTTCACCAGGATGACCCCGCCACTGAGGTTTGAGGCAAGTCTTACACAGGGACAATTTCCAGTGACAGAGAACAAACAGGGTTACTGAGGTCCAAAGGTGGTAACTGCAGGACTATTGCAGTAAGTGCAAGAGCAAAACATCATCCTCGCCGACCTACAGACCCTCACAATCGTTACGGACAAGATCCCATCACTCAGAGCACTGCACAGACACGCAACAATCTTAGGTAAGCAGCCTACCGTGCATCGCACCATTACCTTGTTACAGGGTATAGGATGACTTGCCAACTCCATTAAAGGCTGATAGTCTTCTGATGTAATATTACAGGGATCCTTGTAAATGAACGCATCTTTTAATGATTCCCATATTTTTAGGCAATCCTTATCTCTGCCGAAAGATTAAAACATAGTTAATTAGTGTTTATGAGTATTTATGGCTGTGAAAGGATCTCCTTCTGTTACCGTCAAACACTATGGATCAGATTTTAAAAGAGTTCTAACTATGCTCAGGCACCAAAATAGATTATCCATTACAAAAGCAGAGTATCTTCAGCAAAATGAGTCTAAATCGAGAAATGAGCAGTTCTAAAACATCTTTATCTCTCTTGCATTTTAAATTACTGATTATTGCAATATCTGAATGTCCTCTATGTTTTTGTCCTTTAAAAAGAGCAGTGCTGATATCACATAACTAGAAGATGAAATTTCTGCATTATTCATACCAAATCATGAGAAGTAAATATGGCAGACTACAGCCTGTACATTTTGAAAGTATGACTGAAGGACACTGCCTCCTCAGGTACAGTGAGGCAAAAATATGCCCATGTTTCTCCCTGCTGAGTGTTCAACTCTACTGAAATAGTATCTATAATTTTATCTAAAGCAAAAGCATGAGTCTAGCTGGTTTGGACCTGATATTATTTTCATTTATGCACTAACTTACAGCTATTGACTCTGCTGGAGCCACAGTTGATTTGCACACATATAACTAAGCTCCAGATCAGGTGCTTGGTCTCCAGTGAGTTTTTTTCAGTCTCTTCCCGATCCTCCACCGCATTACAGGTCCTGGCCCTTGTGCTCTGACTGGCAGGAGTCAGAGGAATTCCCCTGAGCTTACATGAGGGACCTGCTTCGTGCCACGACACAACCCTACCACCTCAGCGCGCGCTCGTTTCTCAAGATGCTGCTTCGTCAGCCCAGGGAAAAAAGCATCTCTCTGCTGACAGAAGCAGGGCTCCTTTCACACCGCCAAGAGCAAATCCATTGCCCAGCACAGGCAAGCAACCGTAGCTCCCTGCTGAAGCCGTGCCATGCTCCCTTCCCCAGGCTGCAGCGTACAGCAACGTTTGGGACAGCTCAGGATGTTTGCTTCCTTGTGCTTGAGGTAATGAGTGAAAACTTTGCGCTAAGATAATTCATAATTGTTGTCTGTCTGGTATGTGTTTTCAGGGCTGTCCCCCGTGGGTGCACCTCCCCTCCTCTTCATGCTCCCCCAGTTTCAGTCCCCGTGGAACGCCTGCCCCCTGCATTACAGAAATGACACTAAGGCAGCCGTTCTGCATCTTTTTCTTCCCTATTTTATGTAAATTTAAAATGCTGACTGCATTGTCCTGCTGTCTGCATGTCTGAATGGAGCTATTCTGACTGTCTTTGACTCATCCACTCTTTCTTCACTGTTTGCAATCATCTCCCAGTGTGTTCCCACTAAAAGCCATTGGAAGAACGAAATTTGCTTGCGGGAAGAAGCTAATGCCTTCAGAGCACTGTAAAAATGGCACTGATCAATTAGTATATGACAGACACACAGCTGCAGGCTTTGTTACCAGCTGGTACTCGGGTAACATGTAGGATGTGGAATTTGATTAGTCTTAAAAATAGTCCTAAAGTGATTAAGAAAAACAGTAGTAATTCATTGAAGATTTCCAAACATTTTCAAGTTAATCTTCCCTACAGTTGTGTGACCTCATTCCTACTACTGAACTTGATCACGATTTCTACTGAGTGCCCATTTGAACATCAGAGGGGCAAACTGGCATGCAGAGGAGTTGAGCTGTTGGTACTACATGGGCCACGTCTAAACTACAGGACCCAGAAGCACTTCTCAGCTCCTGGTTGTCTCCCCGCTGTTTGGACATGAATCCTCTTCCTTCCCTTCCTAAGCCTTATGGAAAATAAACGCCAAAGAGGAGGGCAGACTTTGTCTATGTCCAGAAGACAGTGACAGCATCTGACAGCACTACGTCCCAGAGGAAACACCTCTATCAGCCACACTACAGGGGCTTGGGCCAGTATCATACCGGGAAGGACCAGGCAATCCACAGGAAGATGTCCCTGGCCTTCCTGCCCTTCTGCCTTTATGCACTAACAAATCTAACTTAGCATTACATGTAAAATTGGTTATTGGGAGGTCATACCACCAAGGTGGTGGACTACAGCAGGTTTCCACTCTCCACCTTCTTCCAGTCCTCCTCTGTGAAGGGTCTATGGTGGATATGTCCTCACCTCTCACTCCTGGGGCAGCCAAGTGCATGACGCCGCAGGGCTCTATCTGGGCTGCGGATACTCGCAGCCTGACCTTGCCGATTTCAAACAAGCTCGAGTATTGCCACTGCACCGTGCTTCCCAAAATGCAGACAGCCTAGGGGCAGGGAGAAGAAAGGCAGGGCAGCCTGGAGGGGCTCTGGCCATAGGGCCAACTAGGATTTCATTTCTTCCCATGCCAGTCAGCTACAGGGACAGCCCCAGCTGTGTTAGGGACACACCTCTTGTTTATATGAACCAAATTCACTTCTAGGTAAGTAAAAACTAATTACAATGACGATTTTTTTACTGGGCTTTCATCTTTTATCCAGGAGCCTGAATGCACTTTCAGTTACTCTCACTGTAGAAATAAGAAGCCAAACTGCAGATGCTCTCAGGAGCACAGCCATCGCTTTGCTGTTGCACTGTCATGTCAGGGAGTATTCACATGTTTTACTTAGAAGAATGTAACTTGGGTGTACTAAATTTTCTCCTGGAGGAGCCTGTCTCTGGCTACAAACTGTGTAAGTAACCCACAGAGACCATCCTCCCAACTGCAGTACTTCATTTAGGGGTTGGGAAGTAGTAAATACCTCTCCCTGCCACACAGGAACACAATATGAGCACACTGAATCAGCCAAAAGAGAGGGCTCCTGCTGATTAAGGGGCGACATTACAGAATAGGCAGCTGTCTCCTTCACTTTGCACAGTCAACAGTATCGTAAAGAGAATTTGTAGGGCTTGGCTGTAAGCACTGGTACATCTCACAGACATTTATATGGTTCACACTTTCCAATCTGTCAAATTATTTGCCCTCCTGGCAGGAGCAGGACTTTTTTTTTTTTTTTTAAACTACTCCTGAAATCTGTTATATGTAACAGTGTTAGCAGGCACAGGTGACAGCTGGTTACCTCATCATTTATCCTTTCCTACTGCAAAGTTTTAAAGCTTGGTCTCAGAAGACAAAATATTTTTCAAGGAATCATGAGAAAAATTGTGGGGTTTTTATTTCCAAAGGAGAAGAGAGGTAAGTGATAGACACAGTACAAAGCATTTCTGCTGCTGGAGTCAAGGAGCACGAAGCAACAACCATCCAGGTGATTCACGATCCTGCCGAGACAGCTGCCTGAGTCAGAGTCAAACCATTGGTGTTCCGGCATTTCAGGACGCCAAGCTCAGCACTTGATGGTGTCCATGGATGTCACTCATATCTGAAAAAGTCTTTACCCACAGCCCTGGCAGGGCTGAGCGAAACTATATGTTTAATGTCATAGGAATGTGGGCAGCTCTTCTACAGCTGGTAATCAGTGTGGTACTTTTATTGTACCATACAGAAGAACGATAAGGCATGAAGATGGGCTTTTATAGAAACCAGGCAATTTAAGCATTGTTTTAGAAAGCAAAATACAGATCTTCAATGTAAAAAAATGCATACAAAAGCTAAACAATATTTCGTTTTTGCTGTCCTCACCTATCAACATGTATATTTTTACAACTGAATAAAAATAATTAATTGATTTGCTAGCACTCTGATATGAGATACAGGTTTTGCTTCACATCTCAAAGAGATTATCGGTCATGCAGGACTGTGATTTTTGGTTGATACATGAAAAAAATAAGCAGTAAGAAGACGTTAGGACTTGTTAATCCCAGCCCCAGGAAGATACGCCCCTCTTTCCAGCCTCACTGTTGAGGTAGACACTATTAGTAAAGTTTCACCTGCCCCTTTTTCCAGCACGGCAAGAAAATATTTGTCTAGTGTGCAGCACTGAACTCACACTGAGCAGAGGCGAGGGCAGAGACCTGCTGTAACTCTGGGCCTCCTGAAAACAATGTAGGTTTGCGGGCACTCGGTATGCTAAAAATTCCAGCAAGAACAGTTTCGAGTTTAAACAAGCTCATCTGCCTTGCCAAAAAAGCGCCTGAGATGCAAACTGTCCTCTTAAGGCTGCTCCCAATTTCTCTTTGGGAAGTTCTCAGTCACAGAACGGGCTCAATGTGTTTTCTTTCTGGGTTTACAAAAGCAAGGAGGGGTGCGAAAGAGATCACCGGTCTACCAATTAATTAAATTTATCTAATTCAGACGCAAGAGTCCGTGGTGAATATGCTTATGTAGCACACTGCTGTGGGGCTCGTGTGCTCTCCTTCTCTGCTTTTTGTTTGTGTGTTTTGAGTTACATATTAATTCTGCATCATATCTGCAAATATCGTTTCTTTAAGCATAATGAATTTCTTCCTTTGAGGCTAACTTTGTTTATGCTGAAATACTTAAGGCCTTTTGTTCCACTCAGAATCTGAAATATTTAATCCAAATTAAGCGACATGTAAAATATAATTTTATATTTAATTTTTTCAAACTTTTTTTTTAACGAATAGAGTTTGGGAAATGTTGATAAATGTGAAATAATAAGTAACAGACTTAGAAGGAACACTGTGAAACCTGCTTTAAACTCAAGAACTGAACCTGCAACCCTTTCTCTGGAAAGTGAGGATTGCAGAACTTGCCTTATGACCTTTTGGAGACAGAGGCGATAACCTGCACTCAATATAGCACCGAATAAGGGCTGGGATACAAACAACCATTAAAACTACATTTCCTTCTTAAATCCCAATGTTATATATACAGCAAAGCATATCCTGCATTTGTCCTTACATTTGGGTAGAAGTTGCATTTTCCAATGAATTTGAGTATTTCTATTCATTTATCTTTTATAAGAATATCACATTAATCTCTCAAACAGAAGCTGGGGCCAAGAATATTTCCATTAGCAGCTATCCTAGTGGCCAAACTTTAATGTGCATATTAGAAAAATGGACAGCTTCTACATCATTATCTCTTGCATATCAATACACTAGCCTGGCTAACCT